GAGAAACTCTGGGGAAGCCCTGGGTTTCCTCTGAGCTGTTTGCTTAGCTGCAAGCTGATTTTACAGGCCAGATCAACACAGATTAACAAAGGCGTTTTTTTTTTCTGGAGATTTACTCTGGTTCATTAACTTCTTGGTAAACCCTCTGAGTCTTCAAGAGCTGTAGAACACAGCACAAACCTGAGAGAGGAAGACAGAGAAACAGAGAGAAACCAGAGAGAGGGAACACCTTCACCCTGCTCTTCCTCTAGGCTTGCGTCATGCGAGAGGACCTTGTTCTGGTCAGTCTTGGAGACCTGCAGGACGCACATCTCTTGTTTTCTATGTAGTGAAAAGTTGATTTCTGTATGTTGTGTAATGTTTTGTTTTGTTTCCTTGCTTTATCCTATCAATGAACACCTGTCTGTCCCAGTTCTGACTCTCGAGTCAGAAAAGCCAGACCATTTCTCCTCCTTTTTTCTAGAAATACCTGCTGCTCAAACATCACAAGACTATAACACTACGACAACACAAGTCCACAAGCACAGGAAAGCAGGTCATCATGCCAAAGCTCTTTCTACTTAACCTTTAACACTGGGGCTTTTTGGAGAAGACCATCAAAATCTGAGTAAGTTACCCCTTAAACAGGTTCTGTGAGAAAACAAATGACTAAACTACACACACCTGAAGCAGGCTCCACAGCGGGAACATTGTGTTTCTTTCCAGCAGGGAAGAAAGCCTTACTTGTTCCTTTGCAGCCTACACATGCTGACACAGCTCCCTACTTGAACTACTTTATTCGGCTCCAGCGCAAGGCTGAATTATCAACGCGAGGCGCATATCGGAGCTTGCATTCAGGAACGGGACCTAGTGCGCGGTCTGGGGAGGCAGTCACTGACAAAGAAGGACTTCAGAACAAACAAAATGGGAAGACAAGGGGTTTAAATCTAGACAAGAGACGCGTGGCTGAAAAAAAAACCCCGACAGAAACAGAAAAATGCCTGTTGACACTTAGGAACGACTGTTTTATGATGCCGACGGCCAGAGCAACTTTCTCTCCATGCGAACCAGGCCGCCCCCTCCAACAGCAAACAATAGAGCCCCTTCAGGCTGGTGTGGCTGAGGCGGCTATCCCCACTGTCAGCACTGTGCGCTTCTCAGAAGAGCTCTGTCCCTCCGTGCAGGAGGGGCGACACGGCGGCCTCGTCTACACCAGCTGTGCGTGGGAGAGCTGGCACTGCACTGCCTCAGGGGCTGTGCAGGGACTCTGTAACGGCTAACCGAGAAACAGCTGGAGCCACTGCCTTTAAAAAAAAAAAACATGTCAAGAACCATTAATTATCCCAAACTTTTCAATCTTCCGAGTGTTCCCCTTGTTTTCCACAACACCCCTGATCTGAAAAGGCTCGAGGGAAATTCCAAAGTCCGGGCTTTCCAAGTATCCGAAAAGCCCAAGCTCACTTTGACACACTACCAAAGAGGGGATCTTCATTTCACTTGACTGAGAAGATCAACAGCCTGGGAACCACACCCTACCACTAGAGGGAGTGCTAAACCATCAAATAAACAAATGGGATGAAGAATAAAAAGGAAATAGGATGAAGGTTTTTATTTTGCTTTGACCGTCACTGCGGAAGAGGGGGATCCTTCCTGTTCACACAGAACCACGGCCCTGAGGCTGAGGATCAAAGAGAATCGACGACTGATTTAACCAGTCAGAAGACAGCAGTTTCCAAGGGTTTCTGAACTGAAGGGCTTAAGCTGTAAGGCTATAAGGCAGTAGCACTATAGTGCTGCCGGTGGGAGAGCGTGTCCCACATCAACAGAGGGTTTTAGGATTCGGCTAACTGGTTTTACTACTAACAGGTGTGTCACACCACAACAGTTGAGGGAGGATAATCCTGCCAGAGTCCTGTTTGACCTGGAACACAGCTATTGTATACTGTGTGTGTACCACGCTGACAACCCTAGCGATATTCAACATACAGTTGACTACACTGACTAGTGAAAACTCCCGCAGACGCGCAGGTATTCTGATAATTACCTGCCTTTATATCTGGAGGATACGGTCACTTCTCAAAGGGGTGCTTTGTCTCCTGTTTTATGAAAGACTCAAGTTTACGAAGGGCTTGAACAGCTACTTCAAACAAAGAGCACAGCAGTCGCTTTTAAAATGCGTAAAATTATGGTAGCTGAGCATCAGAACGCCTTTTTATGGTCAATTCAATTACCATGCACAGGATGTCCTGCTGGTAAACAGACGTCTAACCCACCTAAAAGCAGGAATGAACAACATTCCTCACTACGTCTCGACAGACCTCTCGGCTTTACAACACGAAAAGAAACTGTAGGCTCGAACGCCACGTCTCCTTTATCTGCGAGCTGGGCTACCCAAACGAGCAGCAGTCACACTTGCAGGAACAGGCAAGCAACTGGAAACAGACTACTGCAACGTCAGGGCTCGGAGAGGCCCTGTTATGCAGCCGGGACTGTGGCACATTTCACGGATTACAAGAACAGCTGTATGCTACCAGCGCGTGCCAAGTTTTTTTCTTCTTCTCTCCCCCTACAGAAAGCGACCCAAGTTAGACCGCGCGTCTCTGCACTCGCTCACCCTTCTGTGAATCACATGCCTGTTCCTCAGGAAGACTGAGAATAGCACCAGCGACATGTGACACCCCCCCCCCCCATGGCCAAGCACCAGGCCCAAGCCCTCTGTTCCCACTGGCCTCCCTGCAGGGGGAGCGCTCCCACCCAGTGTGGGAAACGTCATGTTTTACATATCCGCTCGTTCGACCTTGTGGAATGCCACAAAAAATAAAAAGGTAATCCAACACCCCTCCAAACCTGCAATTAGAGTTTACAACAGAAATGTGGAAAAACTAAGCTGCACTAACGATGGGTGTAACTACACACCTCCAGTGGTGGTTAAGAACTTCCTCCCGGGTCTTTAACCAAAGCCCCGAACTCTGATGGTACAGTGCCCTACACGGGCCTTCTGTAGGTCTGACATGAACACACAGTCAAAGCAATTGTAATAAAATCGATTTTAAATGCTCGTGGTAGCGGGTTTTTGTTTTTATTTTTGGGTATGCCAACAGGTACAGCCGAACAGATGCATTTTGGTTTTTCAGCGCACGAGGTTAAATGTTATTTCAACCTGTTAACGTGTTTGTTTCAACAAATCTGAACTTCGTTTGGTGAAATTCAAATGCTGTCCTCGCCTCGCACTGAGCAGAAAGCCCCCAGACGGCGACATCTCTGTTCTTTACAGTTGCCGTATTTGTATACAGATTTGTGTACAAAGTAATTTGTTTAGCAAACTAAAAAAATGGGGGCTCACCAGTTTAGCTTCTAGGGAAATTGGCTAATTTTCCTTCTGACAAGGAAAGTACATGTGGACGAATGTGATAGACAGCTGATGCACAGTTAGCTGGTGTCCACAGGTTCAGAACGTGTAGGATCTTTTCGCCACAATGGAGGGCTAAAAAAAATCTGTGTGTGTGTATCTGAGGGAGGTACTCTGAAGGAAAGGCTTTGCTGATAACTGTTCAGATTTACCTGCTTGGCTTGAGTCAAGCTGTGTGCACAGGCTTTCTGTGATGCAGGTAAACCTGACAATCTAGACCACGGACACACCAACATTAAGGAACTCCTACAGCAGACAACACAGATCTCCAGGTTTGTTCTGAACTCGGATACCGCAAGCATCTAGATCAGGGCTCATATTCTTAAAGCACTAATAATCTCACACACTGGGATTTACGTCTGAAATCCAACCTGTGTTTGCAACACAATAATAGGTGCTTTAAAATTTGATGTTTTTGAAACCGAGTGTAGACAGCAACGCATCTGGTTACTAGACTATATTAAAGACACCATGTCCCTCAGGGCACAGCGAAAACACAGGCCTTAATCAAGAACAGGTAAGACCAATCCTGAGAGGTTTCAGACTCGAACTTCAAAGCTGAAGTTGAATTTATAGGACTAATGAAATGACTGGGGATATTGTGTAACAACGCTTGATGAAGCGGAAAACCCACATAGAAAACGAGAAATAAAAACGAAAAGGGAATTACAGTAGTACCGACACCCGTCCTGCATGTCAGAAGAGCTACAAACACAGCACAACTGAAGAAGAGCTTTATAAAATGTACTTTTGCTTTCAAACAGAAACATTTTTATTACTCCTTGACAGAAGTTGCTTGGAGCAGCTCAGTGTTTCTAAACCCGGGGCCACACAAGAAAAACAACAATGTATCCCCCAGATTAAATTTGAATTTGAATTTTGAGAGGACACAGCGTGAGATCGTTAGGTGCAGATGGAAAAAGAGACTAAAAGGAATGACGGTAAAACTCCACAACACCTGGGATCAGCTCAAACCAGAGTTCCCAGCCCCCGATGGAAACTCACCTCTATTTCCACAGACTGCAGGGACAGGTCGCAGGGCGGCTTCAGGGCTCTGGGGCGCGTGGCATACCAGTACGTGGTGACGGCAGCGAAGGCCCCGAAGCCCATCAGGGTGTTTGTCGGCAGGCTGCGGACATACTGCCTCAGCTCTCCCAGCTCCGGGACGCGCAGCTGCCTCAGCAACTCGTGAGCTTGCATCGTTCACCGTCTGCAATGGAGGGAGGGAAGCAGAAAAACAGCCCTTCAGCCCTCAAAGTCCACAGACCACGCGACGAGACGAGAACCAACCTGCCGTTCGAAGGCGGCACCGGAGTGACCATCAGGAAGATGAGGCCTGAAACTTCTGCTGAGGGCGCGCTGACCTTCAGCCGGGCTGACGTGACCTGGGCGATGGATTATGGTGACCGACGCCAGGCATCAGCGATGTGTTGTGAAAGACGCATGCACCTAGCCTGCTGCGCCCCCGCGGGGAGGAACAAGACCAACATCTGCAGCTCATGCTTTGCGCCTGGTTGCAGGGGTGGTCTGGTGGGACCCCGTCCCTCTCCTCAGAGTCTGGACAAGCACGTGCCTGTTCTCCGGGCTCAGAGCCCTAGAGGCCACCTGGTCACCCCAGCTCATCCCACAGATCTTTCTAGGGACAGAGGCTCCGGTCACACTCGTCTTCCAAGCAAGCCGAGGTCACACAAGCCAGGCGAGGGGCGAGGCCCTGCTGGGATGCGGTCGTCGCGTCAGGACGAGCCCTCAGCAAGGGCAGGAAGTGAGGTCTCAGGGCCTGACCAACACCACACCGGGCGGTCGCACTGTGCCGACCTGCAGGAGACCCACTGTGGCCAGCACCACCGGGCGCTGCATCATGCTGGGACCCGCGGCCAGCAGCTCAACGCGGAGCGCTCCAGGCGGCGAGAGACAAGGCGTCTCCTGGCAAGGGGGAGCTGCTGGCTTGAGAACAGGAGCAC